CACACACACACACACACACACACACACACACACACACACACGCACGCATGGAGTTGTGTATACCCAACGTGACCACACACCTCTGATGAGTCGGTGAACGTCCGACGAAACGGTCTGTCACAGTCAGCGATCCTCTTTTCTTTTTTCTTTTTTCTTTTTTCTTTTTTTGTCACCCTGTTTTTGGGGAATTGTTGTTAGCCAAAAGTGCAGACAGAGACACACACACACAAAAAAAAAAAAGCGCGATTAGTATATTCTGAACTATTTTTCCCAAGAAAAATAAGAAAAAGAAAAGAGAGAAACTCGCGATTTGTATTGTGGAGTTGTTGGGAGAGTTTTATTTATAGCCGGAGACGTCATCTGCTCGAAAAAAGTTGGTCACTTTTTCACGGTAGTTAATGACTCCGTCCTTGGCGTTGAGTAAATCTGTGAGTTTTCCCGCCTCCTCTTCCGTGACGCTGGCGAAGGACATCAGTGCCTTTCTTATATTGTCAATACTTATGTGGTCAGGCGGCGCGTTGTTGTCAGCAAATATTTGGAAAGCGCGCATGAGAGCTGTGTCCGTGTACGATCGTTTTTGCGGCACCTCGGTAAACACTCTCACAAAGTCAGGGAACGTTATCGTCCCCTCATGCAGTTCGGTGTTCGTGTTCCGCGAGACGATGTCTTCCAATTTCCCCTCCGGTAGCTGTACGTCGAGCGCCGCCAGAAGCCTCAACAGCTGGGCTCGAGTCAACGACCCTGTCTTATCCCTGTCTAAGAGCTGAAAGCCACTGCGAAGAACTTCCAAATGGAAATCTGTGAGAATGGCACCCTTCACCTCCATTATGATGATCTGTCGATTGTCTCTCGATCGACCGGACGAATGGATGGAAGCGGTAGAGACCTGTAGATCCTGTCGATCGGTAGATGAAGGCTATGGCTTGGAGACCGATAGTACCAGCCCTGTCTTCTCTGTGCCTACGGACTGTAGATCATGTCGATCTGTAGATCAAGGCTATGGCTTGGCTAGGACCGATAGTACCAGCCCTGTCGTCTCTGTGTCTACCATCCCTGTCTTCTCTGTGTCTACCAGCCCTGTCTTCTCTGTGTCTACCAGCCCTGTCTTCTCTGTGTCTACCAGCCCTGTCTTCTCTGTGTCTATGGATTGTAGATCCTGTCGGTCTGTAGATCAAGGCTATGGCTTGGAGACCGATAGTACCAGCCCTGTCTTCTCTGTGTCTACAGACTGTAGATCATGTCGATCTGTAGATCAAGGCTATGTCTTGGCTACGGATACGTGTCTACGGTAGGGGAGTTGGAAGGCGCTGAGAAACAGTACCAAAGTGGATGGAAATCTGTGAGAATGGCACCCCTCACCTCCATTGTGATGATCTGTCGATTGTCTGTCGATTGACTCTCCGAATGGATGGATACACTAGACCTGTAGATCCGGTCGATCTGTAGATCAAGGCTATGGCTTGGCTACGGAACGGGTAGTACCACCCCTGTTTTCTTTTTTTTTCTTTTTTTTTTTTTT